AATTATAAAAAATTACATTTATTACACTTTTAATTTATATATTTAAGATAAAAATTAGATTAACATTATATTAATTTTAATGTGAAAGTTAATTATAAAAGAGAAGAAAGTGCGAGTAAGGTGCAATGTGATTCTTTTCTTCGTAAACATAAAATAAATAAAATTTTAAGCCACTCTTTTCAGTCGTAGAGGTCGTGTCCCAGTGGCAAAGGTGATGGAAAATGCTCTATAAGACTTGTGTTCGAAGCCTGCAGGTAACAACTTTATGGGAAATTTTCCAAAAGATTTAAACCGTCCGGTTGAACGGTTTGCACCGGTCCGAATGGTTTTATCGGTTTTGAATGGTTTTATCGGTTTTGAATGGTTCAATCACTTCACTGGTTTTAAACCTTAATCCGAGTCGTTTATTGTACCGGGTACCGATCCGACTAGTTCAACCGACCAATCCAGTCCAGTTTTTAAAACATTGCTTTGAAGGCCATTGCATTTATTGTGCATGGTTGGATTTTGACCTTGCAGCCCATTTCATTAATTTTGGGCGGTCGATTTTTGGCTATAAAAGCCATTTGGCCATTCGGCAAACACAGCAAGAAGAGCAATCCAAAACAAAGTGAGCTTTAGAAAATACAAGAGTTTTGTGAGTGCTTTGGGTGAGGGTGAGCAAAAGTAAAGTGGTTAAAATTACTTTGCTAAGTATTTTTTTGAGTGTGTCTTGCATTTAAAAATATTATGAGTAAGATTTGAGTGTAATTAGGGATTGTATATTTTTCTAAGAGTACCACAAATTGTATCTTCTTATTTTAATAGTAAATTCTTCCTTATGAGTACCCGTGGACATAAGTTTAATTAAATTAGAGCTTAAATAAGTAAATTCTGTCTTTCTTGTGGTGGTGTATTTTTTTTATTCTTTTAATTTCTTAATCTTGTAGTAGGTCAACCAAAATCTCAAGCAATTTGTTCCAATAAACTTTTTAGTTAAATGCAAAAATGATCAGGTTAGGCTATAATATATAAGAATGATGAATCCTCCGTTATTTTAATTTGACTTGATTGGTGGCTTGAAATCTCACATGCAATAGTTTATTGGTTAATGAAAGAATTTTATGTAATAATTTCTTATAGATTATCAGTCAAAGATAGACAACTTTTGTAGTGGCTGACTCTAAGAAGGTTTTTATTCACCATTTGATATGAAAATGGGCTGACTTTGACTCCTTTTGAGCAGAATGCCTGACTCTGCCACCAAGGGGGAGAAGAACTTTGATTGAATTATGATTCCAAGGTAGATTTTCCCATTCCTAGTGCGCTATATGAAGGAGAAGGAGAGGCTAAAGAAAAATCCAAAGGAAACTATCCAGGTCAATCAAACCAAGAAGGAAATCAAACTCAAAGCAATATTAGGAGCAATGGTCAAGTAACATTACTCTTCT